AAAAAAAAAAAAAAAAAAAATCATAGTAAAGAAAGTGCTTGTTTGGGGCTAAAACAATTATATATATATGCAGCTCAGTAATTAAAGCAGTAGTGTAAAATATGCTCTTGTTATTTAACCTTATAACTAAACCTGATTGCTGACTAACCACTATGTGCTCATGTTTTCACAAGGTACCATCTAAGACGGACTGCCTCATGTGCTTCGGTCCAGTTGTGCCCAACGGATACGGCATATGCTACAACCCTATGAACGACCACATCAACTTTGCTGTGTCATCTTTCAACAGCTCTAAAGAAACAAATGGAGCACATCTGGCCCAGTCTATGGAGCGCGCACTATTGGACATGTGGACACTGCTGGAACAAACTCCAAGAGCCAAACTGTGAAGTTCCTTCAGACTTTACTAACCTCTGTAGATGAAGTGGAGGCTCCAGGGCTAGCCTCAGTGATGAATGCAGCGAGTCAGACCTGATAGGAAAACCACTTGCAGTGTGATCAAGGGACATTCAAATGACTGTACCCCACACCTGCTGCAGTACTATCAAGTCCTAATGAGTGTTCTGATTTCTAAGCATGTTACTGATTATCATCCTGCACTTTATGCACTGCCTGCTGTGAAGTGCTGTTCATCTGGTATTATAATGCACACACATGAATTTAAAGTCACAATAATTCATACAATGATGATACAATTCATACAGTGTGTGTGTGTGTGTGTGCGTGTACATTTGTTTTGATTGAAATGTTAGAATGATTGGAAAGGGAAATGATCTGCAACAAGCATTTTAATATATGATGAATCAATCATGTAATTTTACAGGGAAAATAGCAAAATCTCAAGAGTTGCAGCTTCTAGGGCACTGTGGCATCAGGTGACATGTTGCTTAATCTCTGAAACCTGGCCAGTATGGACTGTACTAGCGTTAGTCTTTGATTGCTACTCTACATTGCTGTACTATATGGAGGCCAGTCATACATTACAGAAATACAGCTGTGGAACTCCTTGAGCGGGGTTTGCTAACCCATGTGCTCAAAATGCTAAACATTTTGCACAGGTTAAGAAACCGTACCCACATGTGAAAAGATTGTATCAATGTTTTTTGACTTTCCAGAATCTGCATTCAGAGTAAAACCATGGAACTGTAATTTTGTAAAAGTCTGTCAATATTTTAGCCATGGTATACTAACTTTTTTTTGTTGTATCCCCAAATAGCTCTCCTGCCCTGTACTTTGTCCTCATGTATAAATCATTTATTCTGCCACTAGGAGTCACCAGAGTAGGAATCAACACCCACAGTCTAATGATTTGAGGTGATGCGATCCTGCTTTCTTCTGTGAACTGCCATGTCATATTTTTTGTCCCTTTGAATGTAATGATTGTTTTCATTAATAAACTATACCTATTGACTTGTTGGCCAGCAAGCATTTATTCCATGTTTTACTGTGCAAGATACTGGACACATAGTAGGTTCACACACTTCCGCCTACTGGTTTTGTCCTTGCATTAACATTTTTCTAAAGTTTTAGAATAGCAGCACTGTCCTACCTTCAGAACTGTTTTGACATATTACATGTTTGATATCAGCAGGGTCCATGCAGTTTTAGTAATCCAGAGATTAGTATAACACTTCTCTAAAGTTGAACAGAAATAGATGCCTTGTAAATTAAACACCCACATCAGCAACGAGCACAGAGCACTGCTTTGTTCTGACCTGTTTGCACTGTCTCAGTTTTCACAGCAAACTGCATAGCAGTTCACATGTTGTGATGATAAACTGTTAACCCAGACAAGTTGACTTGGGAAATTTAGAGGCAACCGTTTGCCTCCAAAATGCAAGTTATTGATAATGGAGATAATTTGTCCAGTAAAATGTAAACCTGTTATTTATTTGCATGGTACCTGACTGAAATCCCTGAAGATTAATTGCTTAAAATGTAGCAAAATGTAAAATAACTCAGAGGTACTCAGGAGAAACTCAGAAGCACCCGCCGCAAAATGACAGGTAGCCAGACTTCTGCTTTGTCCAGCTGCTCACATTATATTAGAAAATTCCCAAAAATTGCATCTGACAGATGGTACCCAAGATGCATTGACAAAAACAAATTTCAAAAGTAAAATTAACAGCCTACTATACTGTGATCACTATCGTTTTTATGACTTTTTCACAAGACTTGAAATATATGAATATATGCAACTGCACTTTTTGACATTCACCTAAAAACAAAAAAAAAGCTCATCTCCAAGGTCTCAAGGTCTTACTGTGAATGACATAACGACTTACTGGCTGCTTGGTGGACTCAACTGCACAAAACTGCACCAGTCAATGTTCACAATACTTGCAGCCGTGCCTACTTTGCGTAGCCTTTATTGATGATTGGATGAGTGGTCTGCGGGACCACCCATTGACCCACTTCTTTTCTGGCCACCTATGATCAAGCTGTTTTCATTTTGCCAGTGGGTGTGATGGTTCTTACATAAGGGCAAGGGCAGGGAAACAAACCCCTTTCTTACAGGCTGCACATGAGGTCATGAGGCTGATCTTCATCAGCTGATATATAGTATTTCCAGAAAACAGATGATTCTTTTGCATTAAGAAACAGGATATCTCTGCTTCTGAACACAAAATAAACAGCCTGTACCACTGAGTGAATACTACCCTGACTTTCCGGTTGTGTGCACTAGAGGATGTTAGGCCATAAGCACGTACTTTCTACTCTGTTTTAATGTTTGAGCCTAAGCTTGTCATCTATTATAGGGCAGCAACTAATTAGGTTCATCATCAATTAATATGCCAGTTATTTTCATAATTAATAGATTAACTGATTAACTAAAGCCTTTTTTGTAATTATTGACAGTCCAAAATCGAAAGACGTTTGTCACTGTTTAGTTTATAATGAAAGTCTAAGAAAACCAGCACATATCACATGAGGTGTGATGCCTGGAGACTGAAAAACCCCTGAATTTTATGGCTACTTAAAAACTCCAACAGCCATTTTATTAAGACTGGGGGAATATCAGACTGTAGCAGTAAAACAATCTTAAACAGATGACAAAGCAGCAGGAACCTAATGTTAGAGATGATTTTTTAATAATGTATCTTTACTTAAGGCAAATTTGTTAGAACCTAAGATTCAAGAAATGTTTAGTTTCATGATGCATGTTTGTTTCTAACAAATACGGTACCAGGTTTTTGAAGGAGTGTGGGGAGTTTGTCTACAGGTCATTAATGTGCTCATATACAATATTTCATTGGGTAAAGTTTGAGGATGATGCCAACAGAAGCTACCTTTTTGACAGTAACTTCATTAATGTGATGGACACAAACTGACAGCAAAACAATACAAAATGACCACAAAGAGATGCAAAACAAACACCAAAAAGACACAAAAGATCACTTAATCCCATGTCTGCTCTCTTTCTTTATCTTTCTCTCACATGCAAAGTTGTCCTCAAGTCACCACTCAGCAAAATAAATTTGTGGTTTTCATGAACTGGGTGTCTGAGGTGGTGCAGTTGCACAAGAACAGATGGCAGGGCGAGTCATGCTCCCATCTCATGTTCCCATCAGCTTACAGCTGAATAAAAATAGCCTATTAAAATGAATGTAGCAAACAGTAGGATTCCAGCCCTTTACCATTTATTAAACTCTGAGTTAATTGAAATATCTCTGATCAGAACCAGAAACTCAGAGTTTCCCATCTTATGGTTGCAGGTAGTTCAGAGTTTACTGACCCACCTTCCTGGACCCCCTGTTACTGGACCTGTTATTGTTTTGGTATGTACTGTACAAGGCAACACTTTGGGCAAAGCCAGTGGCATGAGATACTGCTCACTCTCTATTCAGCATCTTCCTCAGTCCTCCATCATGTCCCATCACTGCTGCTTTGAGCTCCTGCAAAAAAAATTCGACACACTTTGTGCTTTGGTGTGACTGCTGTTTGAATTGGGTTCAAAATAATAAGAAAAATCAGTCTGCCAGTCTGTCAGTGCACAATTCAGTTCTAATGCTTTGTGAGAAAAAAGGTTTTGTCAGTGTGAACATAGAATTAGTGTGTAGTTCAGTGTTAGGACACACCTTTGGTTTCACCCTTGGGCTGTTCCCCACCAGAGAGTGGAGGAAGGATTTCCTCCGGTCCTTGTCTTTGTTCATGTTCATGCTTATGTCCCTTGTTGTGCTCAGTGTGTGTGGGGGGGTCAGTAATAGAGTAACAATCAGTAACATTTGACACCTATGGAAAATACTATAGAAATACATGGTGACTGACGAGGCAGAGAGCAGAAAGCCTCGGCTCCATGCTCTCACAGTTGATTCACCCTTTCATTTCTCTGTCTGCCAGCTTTAGAATGAGTCACCCTGTGAAGTCCCAGCCCATTCCTGAACGGTCATTGACTCCCCCACATCCTCTGCAGCTGCTCTGTCTGTTTTCCTTACTGACAACAAACTACACAACTCCCAAACTAAGATCCCTTCACACTGTATTTGACATGAATCCAAGTCACTTTGATGAAACAGGACACCTTAAGTGCTGGAAATGAAACAAAATTTCACGTTTTATTACATTTAGTTTGTTTTTATTCATGAGTATTTTCATAATGTCTTATTTAATAGATAATGTTATTATGCTTTATTCCACTTCTGACGAAGTGAGAAATGAACTGAACAGTGAGAGTGTTTGAAATTATGCTGCATGTTCCTTTCAGGTAGCTGGAGCCTCTTTTGCTTATTTTGACATTGTTTTAGTCAAAGAGAGATGTGATGTTTGCTGCTTTGTACACACACAGACGCTGTGTTTTCATTCCTTGTGGGGACTTTACATTGACTTACATTCATTTCCTGTAGACTCATCCTAACTTTAACCATTTACTTGCCTAACCCTAACCCTAACACCTAACATTTAACCTAACCTCATCCAACCCTAGACCATAAACTATTTTGCCACCCTAAAATTCAATGATTTCCTTGTGGGGACTAGTTTCTGGTCCCCATAAGGATGACTGAGTCCACACAGTGTGAGTGTGTTAACAGGTTTCACACACACACACACACACACACCCCGTATCTGGATGGTATTTGTTAATAGTGTTTCACAGAAGAGGATTTGTGAAGATACTCTCCCTTTCCTTGAATTTGTACTCAGCAGATTCAGCTTCCTCTTTTATTTTTACTTTCCTCTGGTAAAATGCCAACTGAAGAAACTGTTTTGAGAAACATATTTAAATGATCTTGATGGAAATCTTATATTTGCCAGACAACATTCTGAATTTGGTAAATAGTTTGTGTATATTTAAGTCTCTTCAAAATGGTAATCTTTTGGTATTTTAGCTTCAGGACCCAGATACAGTGACACAAGTAAGCTATGTTGATAATAAGAAGACGGTGCTTTGTAATAGAAGTGCAGGAATAGTGGCTGACACAAGCAAACACAAGACTACAGGTATTATGGCTGGTTCAGAGGACTACATCAGTACAGGTATTTTAGCAGGCTCAGATGACTACAACAATGTAAGTAATATGAAAGACAGACGATTGGTAGGTATGTAGCAGGCAAATAAATGTTAAACAATGAATATACATATAAGAGTCACCAGCAAGTAAACAAACAAGTTGGGATAATGAATGGGTGTAATCATGATCACAGGGGCAAAACAGTTCATCTCTAAACAGGCAGGCCAAGCAAACTGTTCAGACAAGAGCAGGCAAATAATCAAATCCAGGGAGTAACCACAGTCCATATGGCAAACCATGAAGGCAAACATGAAACCAATGCCAGAGCCTGACCACAAATCACAAGAAGAAAACAGCTGAATCAACCATTCAAAACAAGAGAGTGGGAAAACTGCAAAAAAGACAGGGGCTGGATTTAACTCCACAAGGAAAACAAGGGGCAGAGACAGGACAAAAACCGGGATCATGACACAAAATATTGTGATCCTTTGTATGAAACCATTTGTTTGGTTTATTTAAAACAATGGATCACAGAATTCTTTCTCCAAATGAACTGTGGAAATGCTGATAAGTATTTTGCTTAAGTTGTACAGATGACCGATTTGTCACAACCGTACTGGCTCTGTGACTCACGATAAATAATTCTAATAAACAAAGAGCAGTTTTCTTACAGTGCCAGTCTACTACACTGTCATGCTGAAACTTGCATTTGTAAAGTCATCTCCAAGTATCAAAACATTCTGAGTGCAAGTTAGGCATGTCTGGCCACGGTGACTCACGCTTGCCAGAAAGCGCCTACTCCATTTCCTGCGTTGAGGTCCACATGGATTTCACAATCACTCTGAGGTCAGGAACAAATGGATTTTCTGAGCATTTATCATTGGCTACTTTGGAAGGGAGTGTCGCTTCAAGGATAATAACTTGATATTTGGACTTTCTTCTGTTTCCTTTTTCTGTTTGATTCTCATCTCTCATAGCTTACAAACTAAATTAATCCCTGTGTAAGATCTGCAACAACTAGTCAGGCTTCCTTATGTAAGTATTTTAATTCTTATTTATAGAAATAGCTACAGAATACACTGTTCAGTGTAGTATATATTAGTTTAGTGGCTGACCAAAATGATATTTATTTCAACAAGTAGCAAGCTTGATTAGTTTTAATGCCTTTTCTATGATGAGTGTGCTGAAGCTGTGAAGACTTACTGAGAAGACTTCCATCAAGAAATAACAACTGACTACAAACAGTCATTGTAAGGAGGATGATAATGATCACATGGTTATTACTGGTCTCTTTGTTCTGCAAGAGCACACAAGATCCAAATGGACAAGAAACCTGTGAGTATTTTGTCCTCTATCTTCTCATAGTCTGCCAGCATAAACAACATATAAGACATACTGTACCTTACAGTAAAATGTATCTGATATAGTGTATTAACAGCATACGACTGTTGCCCTATTTCCAAGTCATTTTACATTGCAAATAACATTGTATGTGAAAGGAGACAACTTACCTCTAAACGTTACATTTACATTTACTGTAGATTTTGTGTACGGGTCCTCCTATATAGCAAAGGCATATGCATTAGTCACTGTATAACATCACATGCCTTCCTTTATTAATCCCCAGGGGGAAAATTTATTTGGTCACCATTTACACAACAAATAGGCTACAACACTAAGCAAGCAAGCAAAACAAAAACCATAATCCAAGGACACAGTGGAGTTCAGTTCAGGGACTGATCTAGTTGCACGCCTCAATCCATTTGATTACAAACTTATACTTCCACTTGTGAAGTGAGGCCACACAGTATGCCAGTAAAGCCTCTGGACTGCTGCTGCAGTGTCCTTTAGCTGCTGTAACCCTCACGGTGCCCCAGGTGATGTCCTCATTATTAATCTTCGCTGCTGTTTTGGATAAGGAAGCTTTAAAATTTTAAATGTATGTTCATTTTCCTTAGGTGTTTTGCATTGTGGACCTCAGAATCTGACACTTAGCACCTCTAACCAGATGATCCTGCTAACGTGGGAAGATGACCCTTCATGCTTTGCAGTACATGATGTGCTGATCTATGAGTTGCTGGTTCTCAGAGCAGATAAGCAAGTGCATTATGTACGAGCTGGTTTGTATTACACCAGAGCTGCCAAGTGCAATTTTAATAGCTGGAATAGCCAAATGAACAAACCTTTAATTTGTTTATGAAAATGCTTTAGGATGAAGTTGCTGTGATGCCTGACCAGATAGGCTCGACTCACTTCTGGAACTGGTCTTCCCATTTGTCCTTGGAGTGCACTTCTCATTCAGTCAGGCTAAGAACCAGACACAAAAACTATACAAGTCCCTGGAAACAGGAACATATTGCTCCCAGTTAATACTGAGCTTACTTAACTTCATATTTTGTTATCAGAAATATTCAAGTTGTAATTCTTATGTATTTGACAGTCAAGGAATTTCATCAAATACTTACTGTATACTGTTGTTATGCCTTTGCAGGAAAAGATAACTCAGAGAAGCCAATGGTTTATCCACAGGACAGAGTGTTTAAGGTTGGCAGTAGAGTCACCTTCTGCTGCGTTCTGCCAGCAGGGGATGTTTTGGACAAAATGTATCTGACTGGTTCTAATAACGTTAATATGAACACTACCAAGATCAGCAATCAGACATATGCCTTGACTGTCTACCTGAATCAGCCATCAAAAGCCAGTTGCACTGATGTAAGATGTGAATCAAAGACATCTGACAGTGGGGCTTGTGTTTATATTGGCTGTAAGTATGGCTTAGTGTAGTGCTGATTTTTGTTATATAGGAGTTCAAAATATGTCTTTCTAAATCATTCATTATATAAGATGGCTGTTTTTTTAATACTTGACATGACTCAGACCCACCTGGGGATAAGGATCTTCAGTGTGAAACCCGGGATCTGGAATCAGTTGAATGTCACTGGACAGTATGGCGAAGCACACACTTGCCCAAACTGGCAACTGCTTATCAGCTTCTTGGAAGGTATATTATAATGAAACAATATCTGCTGCCACAGGTTGGAGTGCGAAAACAAAAAAGGCCATAATGCTTTGAATCTTCAAAGCAACTGAATACATAATTGTGAAATGAAACGTAATCACAATCATCAGCGCTGAACTCCTAAAACATTGTTGGTTTAATGATGGACAGTTCATTTACAGATTTCGGTGTGCTATGCTGATCACATGATCCATAATCTATAATTCACCACAATTCGCCCATAATCACAAAGTACAGCTGAGGCTGATGGGAATATACAGTATTGTTCAAAATAATAGCAGTACAATGTGACTAACCAGAATAATCCAGGTTTTTAGTATATTTTTTATTGCTACATGGCAAACAAGTTACCAGTAGGTGCAGTAGATTCTCAGAAAGCAAACAAGACCCAGCATTCATGATATGCGCGCTCTTAAGGCTGTGCAATTGGGCAATTAGTTGAAAGGGGTGTGTTCAAAAAAATAGCAGTGTCTGCCGTTGACTGTACAAACACAAAACTATGTTGTACAAACGTTTTTGTTTCTAGGATTTAGCAATCCTGTGAATCACTAAACTAATATTTAGTTGTATGACCACAGTTTGTTATAACTGCTTCACATCTGTGTGGCATGGAGTCAACCAACTTGTGGCACCTTTCAGCTGTTATTACACTCCATGATTCTTTAACAACATTCCACAATTCATTTACATTTCTTGGTTTTGCTTCAGAAACAGCATTTTTGATATCACCCCACAAGTTCTCGATTGGATTAAGGTCCGGGGATTGGGCTGGCCACTCCATAACATTAATTTTGTTGGTTTGGAACCAAGACTTTGCTCGTTTACTAGTGTGTTTGGGGTCATTGTCTTGTTGAAACAACCATTTCAAGGGCATGTCCTCTTCAGGATATCAAAAATGCTGTTTCTGAAGCAAAACCAAGAAATGTAAATGAATTGTGGAATGTTGTTAAAGAATCATGGAGTGTAATAACAGCTGAAAGGTGCCACAAGTTGGTTGACTCCATGCCACACAGATGTGAAGCAGTTATAACAAACTGTGGTCATACAACTAAATATTAGTTTAGTGATTCACAGGATTGCTAAATCCTAGAAACAAAAACGTTTGTACAACATAGTTTTGTGTTTGTACAGTCAACGGCAGACACTGCTATTTTTTTGAACACACCCCTTTCAACTAATTGCCCAATTGCACAGCCTTAAGAGCGTGCATATCATGAATGCTGGGTCTTGTTTGCTTTCTGAGAATCTACTGCACCTACTGGTAACTTGTTTGCCATGTAGCAATAAAAAATATACTAAAAACCTGGATTATTCTGGTTAGTCACATTGTACTGCTATTATTTTGAACAATACTGTAATTTTGAAGGTATTTAGTCATAAATCAAAGTACTGGACAGATTAAAACGTACATCTGATGATGTGCTGGATGGACTATTAGAGGATGACAGTTAGTACAATTCCTCCTCTGGGAAACATGAATGTGTTTGCAAAATGTTATGGCAATCCCTGAAAAAGTTGTTGAGATCCATTTTTCTGACTTTTTGGTGAAATTCAAACCCTATATTCACGGTGATAAGGTTACATTCTGTCAGTTAAATTAAATCCGATAGATAGTGTTCAAGATAAACTGGTATAGATACACTGGTATTTATGGTAAATTGTAATGGTCAGTATTCAGTGGTTATTTGGTTTAATAATTAGGTGTTCAGTTGCTTACACATTAAATATTCTTGGCCTTTCCTTGCATCTATTCTGGAGTTGACCTGATAGTCTCTATGTTTATGCTGGGAAAGAATTAGGCAATTTACATGTATTGAACTAAAACTTATTCTCTCTTTGCATTTACATTGTAGTCCATGTGTAGATGGGTTTAACGGGAGATGCTTGCATAAAGTGCAAGTAGATGCTGGTGAGAGAAACTGGACATTAACTGCAGAAAATCGGCTTGGGAAGCTGGAGCTCTCCGACAGGGCAGACATGACTAAAAGAGGTACAGCTTTATAAAGATTTGCATATATCTTCCAAATCATTAAATTCAGCTGATTATCCTGTGTCTTTTGTTTCAGTGCACATGTTTGCTCCAGAGAGAGTGGCAGCTTCAACTGTGAATGCCAGAAATGTCAGCCTGGAATGGGGGTGGCCGGTGCAACAGTACCGTAATCTCAAAATAACATGCCAAATAAATGTTAGCTATGATGGAACAAATATCATAGTGAGTTGACAAAGAAAGGGTGAGATATTAGTAAGGTTTTCAAAGTAAAATTCCTATATGACATCACCTGTGCATATTGTGTTCCCAGAATGAATACTTTGGAGTTGGCATTAATTTAGCAGTTTTGAATGACTTGATACCCAATTGGACGTATAATGTCACAGTACGATGTGCAACCCAACATTTCTGGAAATGGAGTGACTGGAGCTCAACAGTCAAATTCCACACAAAGGGTGATGGTAAGTGTGTAAGATAAATACAGTGATTTACACTTTAATTTTATTTATTTGTTTATATATATGAAAAAAAAAACAGGTTGCCATTTATGCTTAAATGTAGGAACAGCCCAAGAAAACAAAGCTGTGGGGAACAAGGGGGTGACAGCTGGGCATTTTAGCAGAAAGGAGAAATGGTACCTACATTTAGGTATCAGTAGGACCTAGTCAATATTTTATTGGTACCTGATTCATACAGTGAAATTGCACTGCAAATCACTGGTTTGCTCAAAATTTAAACTGGCATTGGCAATTTATTTAACAGTGTGTACTCCACAGTTCCAGATGCTCTTGATGTGTGGATGAAGATGAAGGGTAACCAAACCACAATCATCTGGAAAGTAAGTCAGATAAGCAGGTGCCCCTTAACATGGCATCCTCTATAAAACCTTTACAAGATGTAATTAGTGGCTTTATTAATGATAAAAAAACAAATTCACTTAAAATTAACAAACAAGCTATTAGCCATTAATAAGAATAAATTCTGGGTTGATCGAATGTGAAAAAAAATGTTGGTTGCTGTTTGCCCTCCTCCAGTAGGACACTTTGTTTTTAGCTACTCTTCAAGTGCAGTAGACCACCCTAATGAACTACCTGACCTCTGACGTGCTGGAAACATACAGCATAACATCTGAACCAATAATTCTATTCACCACTTATTTATATTTACAGGTAAGAGACACCTAATTTAGGTGAGAAATTAAGCAAAAGGCCTATTAATGGCATAAATATGGCCAAACTTGATGCCTTATTAGTAAAATAAGACTTTTTCCACCCTTTATTAATTAATCACTAGCCTGAACTATTTTTTTTACATTCACATAGCAACATAGCAACTAAAACATTCTAAATTTAAAGCAATAGCAAATAATTTAACCATTAATAAAGTCATTATTTACAATATATAAACTCTTTATAAAGGGAAGTACCCATATGAACACTGAAACAGGTTTTGGGTGCTGGAATCATGCAAATCTGTTTTTATTAGCTATGTACAGATCCATTTCTAATGTGCTTCTAGCTTAAGTGATGGTAAAAAATTCCACACTTCTTGCTCTAAAGCTAATGTGATTCTTTTACAGTTTAGGTTTTATATATTATTACTTATAAAGTTGTTGTGGCAAACGTGTGTGAAAGAGTTGCCTATTAGCATTCCTTTGAAGTGATGTTTCTGGCCACCTGAATGACAATATTATATTCACTCTTCTTTTTGTTGGGTTTTGATCTCGACCAAAAGTTTCCTGCTAGATAAAAACTGGGTTGATCCCATGTAACCTTGTTTGTCTGGGGCTCTGTGCTGGAATACTTCCTGGCTGGGAGCAGGCCTAGACTTGTCGAGTTGTCATGTTTATGTTTCAGTTTTTGTACTAAGAAATAACATCTAACATTCTAATTAGTGAGCTTTAGACAAAAGCAGGCTAGTTTTTTCCATCTTTGTACAGTCTTTATGCTAAGCTAAGCTAACCTAAGTGGCTGCTAGCTCTAGCTTCATATTTACAGAGATGAAAGTAGTTATCAATTATCTCATCTCACTCTGCAAGAAATGAAGTAAATGTCTCAAATTGCCAAACTCTTCCTTTATTTAAGTTCTTTCAGAACCTCAGCCTCTTGATCTGTTTTGGAAAGCTGAATTTTCACTGAATCACTGAGGCTGTGAATAGTAATGCTCTGTTCTATTTATTCTTAAACACATGAAATTAGAACATACCTTTAATTATCTTCTCAGCAACAAACAGCCACATGGCCCACAGCTGTATGATCATCAAACCAAACAAAAGTCTAATCTAACTTTCAGAGTCTTTATTTTCAGCCACCACCAGTGTGAACTCGTCTTGGATCATTGGGAACAACGGTAGTTTTAGCCTGTCCTGGTCTGCCAGTCCTAAAGCCAGCTGTGGCTACATAGTGGACTGGTGTCCTACCTCAGGGCACTGTGTTGTGGACTGGCTAAGAGTGCCTTCCTATGAAACTAATGCCGTTATTTTTTCAAGTAAGTCCCACAAAACTGTTCCACATACTGTATATAACAATTCCTTGTGTCACAACACTTCTTTTTTTGTCATCTCTCTACCCCCAGAAAACTTTAAAGACGGAGTAAGATACTCATTGTCCATATTTGCCTGCACCCAGGGAGCTCCAGTGCTGCTGGAAAGAAGAGAAGGCTATGTCAAAGAGGAAAGTAAGATGCAAATGTGTGATTTTCTCATTCGGTACTGTTTGCTTAATGTGTCAGTGGCACAGAAGTACATTTTGTTCACCAATGTTCTACCTATGTTACACAGGAATACAAGATGGCCTCTTCAAAACATTGAAATGGCAACAGCAGGATTCAGATGTTGAGATATCCTGGGCTCCAATATTTCTAAATGAACAGACTGCTTTCATCCACGGTTATATTCTGTACTGGTCGGAAAACAACAACAACAACAAAATCCTCAATGTGAGCACAGGTACTGTGACACCCAGTTATTTTCAGATGAATGGCTACAAATGTTTAGAGCCCCACCGACACAGGATTTTAAGGCCATGTGAAAATGAGCTTCTGTGGCTCATCAGTGACCAACATAATTAAAAACAGTATGTGTGATTCAAGGTGTTATTATGTTGCACAAATAAATTTCACATACCTAAACAATCCATATGCAAATGTTTGGTTGATGTATTAGTCAGGTTGTCTATATGTTAGCTAAAGCTAGTTCTAATACTAATAAGAATATAATAATGGCAGTTTAGCAAATCCCACTTTTTCATCAAATGTATATATTGTATGTTGGTGGACGAGAGTGGCATTGTGACTCCTACACAATATTTACACTGGTAATAAAAGAACTAAAGCTCCTATCTTTGGCTTAACTAAATTTGGCTAAATTTTTTGTTGTTTAACAGCTATTTTAAATGCTGATACTGACTTAATTGCAAATACCTTAAGTTAGTTGCTTGGACTCTATGAATGATACACAAAATACCCACTCTATATAGTCACTGTTTTTGAACCTTAACTCAAGCTGAAAATGTTGGTTTGGCTGACACACAGTGGTTTAATGTCTCACTTTGCTTCAGTGACATCAGAATGTGTCAGCACACTATGACACCACTGTTGGGTATGGTTATAACGTGCAACAGAGCACACTTCTGGCTACACCCATTTATTAAAATTATTTAGATAAGCAAACCCAGTTTATTCCTGTTGTCTTGTGACTACCGCCTCAACCAAAACTGAATGAGTTGTGTTCCTGGCTCTACCCATCTACACTGACTAGTTATACTGAAGCATTTGGATATATACTGTATATATATATGTATTTTTACATAAAATAAGCTAACAACAGTTTCTTGCTAACCTGGTTTTTGCTAACATGGTATGATTCTGCCACAGAAACAGTGAAGGGGTGGGCTGAGACAGACAGGGAGTCAAACGTGTTTTCAGGGAGGAAGACGTTAGGGAGGTGACAGCCATCCAGAAATATATTAGGCTGGAAATCCCACTCGAATCTTGACCCAGTTCAAGATTAAAATAATGACTTCATAATGGAAAGGTTCTGTGCTACTGTCTTTATACACTTGCCTCAATCAGCTCATGTGCTGTCTATATGTGAAAGTTAAGAACTGAACTCTGGTTTTCTGCTATAAGTGGAAAAAAACGTCATGCCCAGCTGTTTGCAACTTTGTGGAAAGTCAGTTTCTGCAATAAGAGATTTTAGAACATATTCACATGTCAAGATACACCTTTGCAAACCTTTATTAATATCATCTTGCTTTGCTTTCTACTCATACTATGCAGAGCCTCTGACTGAACTAATGGAAAGGCAGAAGCATTCTCCAATGCTGGTACCAATGACTTACTTACTTAGTAGTAATGGCAGTGTTTTGTTTTATTTTGTTTGGTTAAGGCAATCTTACGGCCACGAGCCTGACAGCAAGAAACCTGATAATCAGTTCCTATACATTCAGAGTGAACGCACAGACGGCAGTGGGAGAATGTGGCACTGCAAGCATAAGTGTCACCTTGAATTCCCTCAGTAAGTTGCTTCTTTTCACTTTTAGAGCACTGTTTCTTTCTGTGTAGGACTCCTTGTTTTTTTTATTAAAACAAATCAGCTTTTTCTTTATTCGACTGACTTCTGTTCCTGATCTGACCTGTTTGTCTTTACTCACCAGCTGATAACCTGATTAAGGCAGTCTTCATTTCCGTGGTCACAGTTTTTATTGTCCTTGCCCTCCTCACTGTTGTTTGCTACAGACACTGGACATGGTAAGCAATTACTTTTCTATGCAATTTGCTTTTGATGCTACTCTGAATGTAGCGCATGTTTTTGCCATTGTGATTTATTTGCATGTATTCCTGTCCCCCGACAGCATCAAACAGAAGGTCTATCCTACAATCCCAAAACCGGAGTTGACTGACAAGTGGTTGACATCACCGGTAGGTGATGTTATATGGGCCATGTTAAACCATGTTATATAGGCCACTAATTTTACTCAGAAAGATCACTCATCAGACAGCCTGGCAGCAGTGCAGAGATATTTTCTTCTAAAGGTTTCTGACCAGGATTGCCCTCTCTAACCAGTCAGAGATAGACACTGTTAGGGTTGGGACCACACAGCTGTCATTCAGTACATGATTCAGTTCTATTGACATCACTATGGCTGACTTGCAACCTAGCAGGCTCCTGATTCTAGTTTTAGCTGAGACAGCTAAGCTATACAAAAAACAAGTTAAAGACAAGAAAGAGTGAAATCAAACCAGACTAGATTTAGATCATAAAGTTATATCAGCATAAGTTGACAGAGTAGTCTTATTTTACTATCTATTGTGGGTCTCCAAATTTTTTAGCTCAAACTGGTGGATTACCCCTTTAATACGTGATGAAAATAAATTTTATAGTGCAACATTTGCTCCTACTATGGTTCATTATTGGTTTCCCTGTTAGCAACATTATAATAAACGGAGTTACCAACCATCTATTCTATGAACTTAAGGTCATGTTTTCTGTTTTCCAGGGTAAACACAGTTGTCATCATCTTTGCATGGATCAGCAGCACACTGAAGCAGATATCATGGATGTTCCAGAGCTGTATTTTAAATCAGGAGCACCAGTGAATAGCCAGGCAAACAAGCCTTTTGTTTTTGCACAAACTCCAAAGGGTTACTACAACCAGCCGCACAGAAAATGCAGTCCTCCACCCTTCATTTTACCCACTAAAGTCACCCCAGCGGAGTTAGGTTTACCACTTTCTCCATTAAAAGGTGTATTTCCTAACCTGTCATACAACCTGATAATGCAAACTGGGGATCAGCAGTCCAAATTTGGGCCTGAGATTCATGAAGGGACATGTTTGGAGAGAAGCTCCAGTGCATACCAGCCTCAGAGTCACACAGAAGCCTTCACGTTAAACCAAAGAGAAGAGGCTCCAGAGAGTCCTATGTCCTGTGTCTCCACTTACATTTTGTTACCACAGTCACCTTCCAAGCAGTAGCATGCACATAGACTGTATGTATATGAAATAATGCAGAAAAAGTATTATGTTGTCATTTGATGAAAGGGAGGTATTCCAGGCATGTCCCTGTGGGAGAAGGCCTCGGGGCAGACCCAGGACACGTTGGGGAGACTATGTCTCCTGGCTGGCCTGGGAACGCCTTGGGGTTCCTCCTGAGGAGCTAGAGGAGGTGTGTGTGGGAGAGAGAAATCTGGGAGGCTCTGCTCGGACTACTGCACCCGTGACCCAGTCCCGGATAAAGCGGATGGAGATGGATGGATGGATGGAAAGGGCACTCCCACCACTGAACACTGAGTTAATATCTTTGACACTGTATCTTATCTTTATTATTATTATTTTTAAAATAGAAAATTAGCAACCAACAATACAGAAAATGGTGAAAGACTCCAGATTTAGTTATGGCAATGCAGAGCAGATGTATCAAACAGTATTATGACATTTGTTGTATAAATTTCAATTACATCAAATCAATGTAATATAATGATCAATGTAAAAAAATGCCACATCTACTTTTTACAGTGTTGTAAAACATAAATGAAAAATGCTTTATTGCAAACTTTGTACAGGAAAAGCAGTTTGTGGAACATTATGCACCTTTTAAGTTGTGTTGTTTTAAAATAAGCCATATCACTGACCCACCAGCCTGGGGGGCGGCTGTGGCTCAGGAAGTAGAGTGGGTCGTTTCCTAACCGGAGGATTAGCAGTTAGATTCCTGGCTTGTCCAGTCAACATATCGAGGTGTCCTTGAGCAAGACACCAGTTGCTCCCGGTGATGTCACCGGTGTGTGAATGCGTGAGTGCTTGGGAGTGCGAATGGGTGAATGGCCGAATAATGTGAAAGCACTTTGAGTGTGCTGTAAAAGCATAGAAAGGCTATACAAGTATAAGACCATTTACCATTTATTTCAGTGTCTTTACTGGATTAACGGCTGGGTTCTGAGTCTGCTGAAGTTTCTGCTGTACTTCTGTAAAGAATGTCTGTTTATTTGTATTACTGAAATGGTTTCATCTTATTCTGAGAGAAACACTTTCAATAAATATCAGTTAAAATCTGACATTAAGAATATGTGACAAAGTTGATTGGTTCTGACAGTTTTCCTCATGAGCACTAGAGGGAGCTAGTACTATATTAGTGGTGAGGATGTGTGTGGACTGAGACTGTTACTAGAGTCCTTAAGTACTTTACTTCCTTATTTCCATTTTAATCATATGGGTGTGATCCAGTGGCAGACAAGTAGCCAAAATGATAATACAGTTATTCATTCAGTGGGGTTGTTATTAATATATTTTTCTTCTGATTGATGATCTTGGTACTATAGTGACAGTGGCTGCAAACTGAATGGGCCTGACTCACAGATGTGATTGCCTACCAAGCCAGTTGGGCCAGCCACTGTATAACCTGAGCAAATACAATGCAGATAATGTGTATCAAGCCACTAAATAACTGCTGTTTGCTTGGCTGAGGATAGGATTCAGAGATTATTTGTATTAAGGTCAGAGTACAGATGGGCTATGATAGGGGAGAATATTGTCCCAGGTAAGTGTGCATATGAAATCACTGTATGCGCATTTAGGTTACGTTAGGGTTGAAAAGGGGTGTTACCTATTATGGGGCCTTGAAGATTTATTACAGCATGGCCTGATACCCCCCTCTCTGGGGTCAAATAATGATGAAACATCGTTTAACTTGAACACTGAGCTTCCACAAGAATGCTCACCCATTATTTGGTACATTTAATTGTGTATTATCAATTGTGCAAGATATTAACCACAGAAGATGAAAAAGAACAGCGGCCAGGACAGTGGTGAGAGTAGACCATGGAAGGAGAGCAACGAGAGATGTAAAAGGAGTTGTCAAAAGCTGGTTAGCAGGGAGTATGTGCAACTCTTCATTTGGATCATTTGCACTAGACGGGCTCAGAGGAACTGTTGATGAGATGAGAAATTTTATTTATGAATACAGGGTGGAATGGTTTGAGGTATGTGAGAGTATAGAAAAAGCTTGTATCATAGGTGGAAAGGTTGAGGCTGCAGCAGGAGATCAGTTTGTCTAAGAGTAAAGACAACTCAGAGAGCAATGGACGGCTACAGATAGTGAGAAAGAGGGCTGCAAAATAAACTGGCAACTTTAAATCTTAGATAAAATAGAAAGGTTTTCATATTGATTTGTGAAATTAGAATAAAGCTGGGATCAAGTATGACCTTCCATCTCCTCAAAATTTTAGAAGATGAATAGGTGAGGACCCAACATGTCTTTTGCGTTCAGATATAGTGTCTGTGGCACATTTTATCAGGGTGTAGAACAAGCCTGACTCAAGGGCGATACACCTTGACTTAACCAAGTACTGAGGTGTGCAGCCGCCACTCATAGGAAGCAAAAGGGAAACAAGATGGGATTGTTTTGTACTCCAGAGTAAACAAGTTGGGAACCATATAACTTTGAAACCAAATTATGCAAGACAGCTAAAGGCAGGGAGAGACTGGCAGATGAGAGTACATAAAAAAAAAACAGCTCATGGTCCCTCAGGAGATAACTACCACTAAACTAGGACCAGATCTTGTGCTGTGATCAGAAACACAGCAGACTGTGGATTTTGTGGAGCTGACAGTATCATGGGAGGATGCACTGTGAGAGAAAATGGCTTAAACACACAGAGCTAACAAGGGAGGCAGAGGAGCATGGTGAGAAACCAAAGGTTTGACCAGTGGAGGCAGTGGAGGTAGGCTTCAGGTTTTGGTGGCAGATCAGTCTAGAGTTCCAGAAAGGTGAGTGACTGATATAAAATAGATCAAATTGTTAAAGATCAACATTTTTTGTTTTGTGACCCCTCTAGTTAGGGCCCATTGTCATGTTTCAGATGTCTATGACTTGTTGAGAGTTCAGCCAAAGAGACAGTTGCCGTCTAAACTTAGTTTCCTTTAAATAATTGTTAAAATGATTCATTACTTCACAACAAAAACTTGAGGTCAAACATGAATATATATTTGATATCAGAACCTTCCTTTTCCATGAATCATCTCACAACCCCTCAGATTTATCTGGTGACCTACCTCTGGAACCACTAAACAAGTAGATAAAGTAGTAACTAGCTCCACCAGCAGCTACATCAATAAAAGTCTGCTTACACACTGTTGTGCATCAATATTAAAAATCTAATAATCTCATAAATAGATATTTACCAGGCATAAGGGACATTTTATTGCAGAACTTTGACTTTTGTTTTTCATACTTATATTGCAAATCTCACAAAGTAAAACTTTCAGTCTGACTTGTAATTGAGTATTTTATATTGCTGTTGTTTTGCTACTTTTACAAAAACAAATGATCAGAATATTTTCATCATTACTACAATAGACCTATAAATAAAACTCACTCAGCATCACGAAGCAGAAACTTTATTCTAGTCACAGTTTAGGCAGCTGCCACAGCTTGAGCCCCATTAGCTCAAGCTGTATCTTATGAAGAGACCAATGTTCAACCAGCAATGTGTTAACTTGTTTCCTCACTTTCTAACTACCCAGGCTGCCCTAACCCACCCTGGATGTATTGGTTAACTCCAAACTCATTAGTTCCTACTGAAGATATACATCTTAAAGAATGCTCATAAATATTCTATTACATTAAAAACATAAAAAACAGCTCAGTAATTTCCTACAACAGCTAGCCACCATCGTTTTTAAACAAACATTCCTAAAATATAAATAGACACGGTTTTTGTTGCGTTTTAGTTTCAGCAGTGGTATAAACCACATTTGGTGCTCTAGTGCATATCTGTGGGACTGGATGGTGTGTGCAGGAATGAGTCATGTAATGAATGAATTTAGCTGCATGGTTCACACCCCTCTTCAACTCTTAAAACTAAGTGACTAGATGTGCACATGGCTAATGATAGCAAGCTAGATGAGATCACACAATATTTAAGTAAGACAACTTTGAAATTATCTGGAGTCGCAGCTCTCCTCTTTTGGTGGAGGCTAACTTCCTCACCCAAAGTTAACCCTGCAGCAAGATCATGTGTAATGGACCAGACTGTCAGTGGAAGACAGAGAACAAAGCTGATATCAATCCACCATCATGGTCTCCAGGTAAGATACAGAACAAGTGAATGTAATGTAACAAATGTAATGTAATTCCTGACTTTCTAATTCCTTACACTACTTGTAACTGAAAGAAGTAATCACACATTACTGTAACATGTGATAAGTATTTCCCAACACTGCACAGGAATTCACTTGACAATAAGAAATATATGCAGGAAACCGCACTTTGAACTGTATACTTAACACTGTAGCCAGCAACTTAATATACTGTATGACTGGTGGATTCAGTTTAATGTACATGTGCGGGTTGGTAACTTATGAAGAGATGACTTAGCAACCGGTATGAACAGGATGAATGATTATAGTTACCAGTAACTCCTTCAACATGAGTATAAACTTGGAAAAAGTCTCAACCTACCCTGTAATGCAATTTCATGTTATGTTTCTCTTTCTTCAGTCATTTGTCCATACAGTCATGAAGCCAGGAACATTGCTTCTTTTAAGTTCTGGTCTTTTGTTTTTGTATTTGGAATATGTGCAAATTAAAATGACTTTCTGTTTGGATGTTTCTTTAAGGTGGTTTCTATTATGAAGAGTTAACTCTTTCATGTCCACTGTTTCTCTTTCTTTCTAGACTGCCTGTCTCCTCCTCACTTTCTCGCTCTCTCGGTCCAGCACAGGATGATGTCATCACGCCTATTTGCTCAGATGATGTCATGGCAGCTGATAGCTTTCAGATGTGTGAGAAAGATTTTTTCCACTACATTTGGTTGACTTTTGCCCGAGCAGCCAAATAACATCAGGGGGAAAGCAGTTTCAAACTGGACACAAACAATATCTGTAGAAATGAACTAGAAGTCAGTTTATAGTCTGACGCACAGTGTGTCTGATACTGTACTGGTCAGAGTCTTTTCATTCTGCCTGCTGGACTGTATCCCATCCAATCACACTTTCTGGTGTCTTGTCATCACTATGTGGTTACCAGGCAACTGGATGAGACTCCAGGAAGTTATTGCACCCGTTCGAGAAACAGTCCAGAACGTATTTCTTGTAAAACCACAGCTTGTTTTTACACTTTAGATTCTG